CCCCAGTTACACTGTTACCAGCTTTTAAACCATGCCCTCAGAGAAACGGCTTTGCTCCGCGAAAAACCGCAGCAAAGCACTCTTCCAGGTGCTTCTCAAAAACAGAGGACCCACCCCAGCCTAGAACACCACTAAAAGTTGAGAAAGCAAAGTGTTTTAAAGGGGTTTGCAGCCGCTTTCAAACTCATCCAGCTGCCGCCTGCGCTGACAAACAGGGTTTCGATCTCAGCCCAGCCCACCCGGACAGCGCGGAAACAGGCTTTGCCCGTCCTGCCTCTTCAGCAAGGCTTTCCCCACACCCTGCGTGGATTTTCTCCCCTCCTCGGGTGAATTTTCTCTGCAAGGCTGGTGGCTGCACACTCCTTTGACAGCCCACTTGAAAAACGCTGGTTTGAATCTGACTCGGGGGAGAAGAAAGGAAGTTTCTGGCTTCCTGCTCGGGGGAAATGTTCTTGCGATGACTATGAGACCGCACGAGGCGAGGCGTGGTGGCAACACTGAGTCATTCTAAAAACAAACCCGAAAAACACGCCCATGGCCATCTCCCCAAAACTTGCCAAGGAACCACGCCAAGAAAGAATACCCAACAGGAAATTCAAGAAGAGGAAGTCCTTCTGGTCTCTACAGATGTGAAAGATATCTGTTGGACAAACAGTACTAGAAATGTTGGTGAATAACCGTGTTTCAGCCAAGAGACTGGACTCAATCAAAAAAGAAGAGCAGCAAACCCTCAAGCCCTGGACAGCGTGCAGCCTGCAGCTCCGTAGAGCAGCACCAGGACAGCACATTCACAAGCAGGGAGGACACGGGTGAACCACTGAACCTCTGACGACAGGTGAAAATAAAACCTCACGAGCTCGGATGCTGAACCTCAGGACTCGGAATGGGGAAGCTTCCCTGCCATCTCATTCTCTCCCCCGAAGACTCTAAGTCCTTTGTCTTTCTCTTGCCAGTGCTCTAAAAACGGACTGTTCTTTGCTGAGGACACTAGGGCAGCTAGAATTCCAACCCCCCTCCTTGAAAACGAGCCATGCCTGGGTCTCCCCCATGTATCAATGAAAAGCGCATGACAAAGTTTGCTTTGTTTCCCCTTGTTAAGCTGTCTTTGGTCACAGGAGTCCCTTCCAAGTAAAAATGTAGGACAGTTGATTTTAAAAATGATTTTTCAGGTGACTCACACCTGTAATCCCAGCACTTTGGGAGGCTGAGGTGGGCAGATCGCTTGAGGCCAGGAATTCGAGGCCAGGCTGGCCAACAGGGTGAAACCCTGTCTCTACTAAAGATACAAAAATTAGCCAGGTGTGCACCAGCACACTGAAATCCCAGCTATTCGGGTGGCTGAGGCTGGAGAGCCACCTGAACCCAGGAGGCAGAGGTTGCAGTGAGCCGAGATCCTGCCATTGCACTCCAGCCTGGGTGACACAGCAAGACTGTCTGAAAAAAAAAAAAGTTTTTTTTCAGTCTGGGCAACATAGCAAGACCCTGTCTCTACAAAAAAATGTAAAAGTGGCCAGGCATGGTGGTGTGTCCCTGTAGTCCCAGCTACTGCAGACGCTGAGGTGGGAGGATTGCTCGAGCCCAGGAGGTGGAGGCTGCAGTGAGCCGTGATCGAACCTCTGCCCTCCAGTCTGGGCAACAGAGCAAGACATCCAACCTCAAAAAAATATTTTTCAGCCTGGTCAACATAGCGAAAGCTCATCTCTACTAAATGTACAAAAATTAGCCAGACATGGCGTTGCATGCCTGTAATCCCAGCTAACTAGGAGGCTGAGGCAAGAGAACTGCTTGAACCGTGAGCCAAGATGGTGCCACTGCACTCCAGCCTGGGCAACAGAGATTCCATCTATAAAAAAACAAAACAGAACTTTTCTTCCTTTGCACCCCTAAAGACACATAGGTCTTATTTCTTACCATGTCTATAAATCACAAAGGACACGATTCTTTTCCCCTAAAGTAACGAGAGTGATCTGAAAATGTTCAGCCCGACTGAAAAGCACCACAAGCTCCACGTGGCTAGTGAGAAGTCCAACTCCCTTGGGAAAAAGATATCTAAGTTAGAAAGCATTCCGGACCTTATCCATGAAATCCTGCCATGATTCCTAAGTGCTGAATTGGTGAAAGTGTCGTATGAGCTGCATTTCTTCCTAAATGACAGCATGTAACCACCGTAGGGCCTTCAAGAAGAAAAGTGACTTCCAAACAAACAAATGAAAAATCAGGTTCTTGCATATCTCCAAAGTGTAAAGACACTTATTTGTCCTTACACGAAAACTGTGTCTCACAGACAGAGAAAGGAGAAAGAGTTAATGCAGGGAGGTTTTTGGTTTGTTTGTTTTTCAGACTGAGTCTCTCTGTGTCGCACAGGCTGGAGCTCAGTGACACCATCTCATCTGACTGCAACCTCTGCTTCCCAAGCTCAGGCAAGTCTCCTGACTCAACCTCCCAAGTAACTGGGATTATAGGCGTGCACCACCACGCCCGGCTAATTTTTGTCTTTTTAGTAGAGTCTGGGTTTCCCACGTTGGCCGGGCTGGTCTTGAACTCTTGGCCTCATGTGATTCCACTGGCCCTGGCCTCCCAAAGTGCTGGGATTACAGGCGTGAGCCACCTCGCCCGGCCCTAAAGCAGGCAGTTAAATGCAAAACAATCGACTTTTACCAGGGCCAAATGCTGGGAAAATCAAGGCAAACTCGCTGGAGGAGAAAACCCACTTCCTCTGCCCAGAAGGCAGAAACGTTGCAGAAACGTTCCCCTACAACCTCTACACACGCCCAGGGGCAGGAGACAGGAACTTGGGAGAGGCCGAGAAAGCGAAGCACAGGCTTGCTCTGCTGGGGTGAAGGAATCCTGAAGACACCCGGTATTGTTCCACAGATGTGGGCTCACCTAGGTGTTTGGAGTTTTTCAAACTGCCCAGGCTGCTGTGCCTGCCGGGGTCAAAACAGCCCTTTCTGGGGAGCAGGGATGCAGGAGGTGTGTTCTACGGACGCTCCCAACCGCGGGCCAGCCCTGAATCTGCACATACATACAACTCTCAAGCCTTCCTCCCGGTTTTCAACCCTCAGAACGACTGGCACTTGACACCAGATGAATTTCTGGGCCTCAAAGGATTCTGAGAGGCTTCCCTGAGCAGCCTTTTCCACGGCAGGATGGTGGCAGGTCCCACGTCTCCTGAGGGCCAACGTCACCCTGGGGGGAAGTTCTCCTCTCCAAAGCTGGTGCCTCCTCGTTTCCTCTGCAGCCTCCCCCCTCCTCCATCCATCACATCTATGCCCGAGTATTTATGAAGACACCAAGGAATACAGGGGCCTGGGTCCCCAAAACGCTTGAGATCAGGCCAGGACTGTTGGCATCTGTGTGAGACTCTCCCCCTAGGCTCCGTGGGGTTTTGCAGCCTGATGCATCACCAACTCAAAGGTGAAGTTTCCTGATGAAACAATACGTGTATTAATATGACCGGCACAGGGGATTTCCATCTCCATCTCTAGTAGGGTGGCACTGGAAAGCGGGGGTGAGAAGGGTCCCCCAAGGACATCCAGCAGCGCTGAGGGCCCGGCCTTCCTCTGCGATTGGAAGGACAGACCGGCCCCTGCTATCTCCCTGGCCGCTGTCCTCCCCACCCTCCCGCGCCCTATGCAGCCACCCTTCCCTGGACGCAAAGTCTCAGCAGTCTCGGGGTCCCTAAGGATGGAGAAATGCGTTAGCAGAGAGACGAGTGCAACGCCCTTCTGCAGGCGCCTTGCGAGCAAATGCAGCTGATCAAACCCTACAGAGCAGTCCCGTCGGCGGCGGCAGCCTGCTAAGGAAAAAAGAAACAGGAAGCCGTGTTTGGAACCTCCCTGCGGGGTGTAAACGCCTCCAAGTTTTCCAAAACCGAGCCGGCTACAGTCTGTCAATTCTACCAAGTGAAAGCACAATTTCCAGGATACCCGGGACGCGTTTAAAGAGCGTGTAAACCCATTTGCAGCTCCTCCCTAAAAACAGAGACCAGGCCTCGTCACCGCAGCTCCGGGCTGAGCTGGATCCCATCAACACCAGCAGGAAATTTCGCGGCCCAAACCGGGCCTCCTCTGCTCTCCCAGAGCTGGGCGTTCCCGCCTCTCATTCCTCAATTCGTCCAGCCCTGATGAGGCCGGTCAAGTCTACACTGCCTGCAAGCCGCTCTTCTTAAAAGCCTGCCCACAGGAAGGGGCAGAAACGCACCGGCTAGTGGAATTGATAGAAGATCACACCCAGCGGGGTCCCGGTTTCCCTTTCGACGCGAGGGAAACAGAAAAACACGAGTAAATAATAACCAGAGCGAGGCCCGGTTTAGGGCGCGGGAAGGCGGCCGTGGCTCCCGCCTCTTTGATACTTTTTCTGTTTTCCCAAGTCTCCAGCGCTACAGATGGACAATTTGGTAACCACGCGTTTCTTTCTGGAATTCCCGGGGCCTGCATCCACACAGGATTGTTTAACAGTTTCAGGGCTCCAAGTTTGTTTCCAACTTTTCCTTCCCCTCCCCCCATCCTCCCGGCTCCCAGCGATTCCAAATTTAGGCACGGGACGCAGGGCGTGGCTCCGAGAGGCGACTCCAGGGCGGCCTCCGCGCGCGGCCTAAAGACGCAAGTCCCAGACCCTGGTGGGAGACAGCGGGGTGGGATCAGGGCTGATGCCAATGGGCAGAGATCCGCTAGAAAGTCGCCGGGATTAGAAAGAATGAAATGCCACCTCTCCCAAGGCCCCCCCCCAGATTTAAAAGTTTGCGCCTCCGACAACAAACGCTGACCTTTTCCCTCTGGAATGCGACTCCCACCCGGCCCCAGGGAGAGAACTGGGGAGAAAGTGGGCGCCTCCTCCATGCCTGGGCCCCCCTGGCCACAGCGCGTCCCGCCGCGGTTAGGGACTGGGGTCCCGGTGTCCTCGCGGGGCGCTCCCCAATTCCGCGCCCGCAAGCGGATCCCCAGGCCCGGCCTGCGCCCCCCGAGTCCCCCCGCACCCGAATCCCGCTGCTGGCTCACCCGGGGCGGCCACCAAAGCGCCGAGCAGGCCGAGGAGCAGCAGCAGCGCCAGCGCAGACCCGCGGGCCATGGTGCGCCCAGTGCGCGCAGGGACGCTCCCGAGTGCCGCGCGCGGGCGGCGGCGGCGGCGGCAGCGGGACTGGCACCCCCGGGCCGTGTGGGGCGGAGCTCGGAAGGACACGAAGTCAGCGGGTGAGGAGAGCCGCCCCGCAGGCTCAGCTCTGGCCGCGCCAGCCCGGCCCCGCCCCACCCCGGCCTCGGCGCGCTTTGGAGAGGCGGGAACGCCGGGCTGGGGGAGGGGACCGAGACGGAGGCGGGCGGGGCCGAGGGAAGCAAGGGACACCCCCACCCTTCCCAGCCAACTGTGGAGTCCCCACACCCACAAGCCCGTCGCCAGGACGCCCAGGAGGCGCCGACCCGGAGCAAAGAGAAATCCAACATTCTCAGGAAAGTGCAGGTCCCCCACCTCTCTGCACCCCCGTAAATTGCACGCCCCAGGGAGGCCTCTAAGAATAGTGGCACAAAACTGCCGCGCTTCTTGGAAACCTGTAGCCCCCAAATCCCCTCCCTACTCGCCCCTGCAGCCTATTCTCCGCCTCTTGCACAAGCACCCCCTCGCCCCTAGGTCAGTGGTGGGAGCAAAAGAAACTTCCAGGTCTCCTGCTCAGCAAAGCGCGGAGCCCCTCCCTCCCTACACTCCCTCAATGCACGCCTGTAACTATAGCAACACAAAACCGCCGCCCTTCTTGAAAACCTGTAACTCCCCCTACTTGCCCCTGCAGCCCCTTCTCCGCCCCTTTCACAAGGACCCCTCACCCACCCCCATCCCACCCCAACACTCGCACCCCCACACCCCTGTCTCCAGTGGGAGCAAAAGAAACTTTGTCCCCTGCTTGGGAAAGTGCGGGTCCCTCCCTCTCTACACCCCCTAAATGCACGCCTCTACCTGCAGCGACACGAAACTGCAGCCCTTCTTGGAAACACGTAGCCCACCACACTCGCCCCTGCAGCCCCTTCTCCGTCCCTAACAGGGACCTTCCCCTGATCTGCAGTGGGAGCAAAGGACACTCTCCAGACTCCCCTGCTGGGAAAAGTATGGGGGACCCTCCCAGCTGCTCGTGAGGATCTCAGGGGGATCCCCAAGAGGAGAAAAGAGCAATTCTCTCCCTGCTCAGGAAGGCGTGGGCCCCCACCGCCTCCACAGGCGACCCCCACCCCATGTCCTTTCTAGAGCATCCGAGCCGGGGCGGAACCCGGGAGGGTTGGCGGGGGCAGGGCCGGACACGCCCTTCGCACAGGACCAGCGAGGACCCTTGGAGGTGCCTCTGCGCTCAGGCAGTTTAACCACCCCCCCCCTCCAAAAATAAAACCCCAGGACAAGGTTGGGAGTGAGGACTCCTGGTCATGGGGATTAGTGGGGTACAATAGGGAACTCGGTCGCCTCTGTCTCCGGGGCACCTGGGCCCTAGCCCTGGTCACCGGCTACTCGCCTTCCAGTGGGCTTTGAGTCTAGAGATCCCCGTCGCGCTGCCGGCCACAGCTGCAGTGCAGGCTTCCCCACACTAACAATATGCTTTCTGTGAACACCTAAGCCTAAAATGTATCCATTTTCCTGCAGTGCAGCGGAACAACTTTGCAGCCTGAGAAGCATCCCACCCTTGCATTCCACCCTTCAAACGGCCCACGAGTATTCTTGCATTCCACCCTTCAAACTGCCCGCAAAAAGAGTCCAGCTAGGTCGGGCACGGTGGCTCACGCCTGTAATCCCAGCACTTTGGGAGGCCGAGAGGCGGATCACCTGAGGTCAGGAGTTTGAGACCAGCCTGGCCAAAGTGGTGAAACCCCGTCTTGCGTGTGGTGGCTTGCACCTGTAGTCCCAGCTACTCAGGAAGTTGAGGCAGGAGAATCGCTTGAACCAGGGAGGTGGAGGCTGCAGTGAGCAGAGATCAGGCCACTGTACTCCAGCCTGGGTGACAGACTGAGACTCCATCTCAAAAACAAAAACAAAAACAAAAACAAAAAACTCTGTAAAATATTTGAAAAGATTTATTCTGAGCCAAATATGAGTGACCACGACCTGTGACACAGCCCTCAGGAGGTCCTGAGAACATGTGCCAAGGTGGTTGGGGCACAGCTTGGTTTTACACATTTTAGGGAGGCATGGGACAGCAATCAAATACATTTAAGACACACATTGGTTTATCCGAAAAAGCAGAGCAACTGGGAGCAGGAGGGCTTCCAGCTTATAGGTAGATTTTAGAGCTTTCCGATTGACAATTGCTTGCGTTTCTGTAAAGACCTGGGATCAGTGGAAAGGAATGTCTGAATGAAGGTAAACGATTGTGGAGAACGAAGATCTTATTTCAGCAGGCAGCCTTCAGAGAGAAGAGGCTGTAAATGCTTTGTCTCACCACAGAGGTGTCACGAGGCCTGTTCCACCGCACTTCCCATCATGGCCTCAAACAGTCTCTCTGGTTAAACTTTAAAAGATGTGTGGCTGAGGAGAAAGTCCATTCAGATGGTTTTGAAGGTGGGACTGGCGGGGAGGGGGGGGCTTAGAATTTTATTATTTATTTATTTATTTATTTATTGAGATGGAGTCTTACTCTTTCGCCCAGGCTGGCGTGTAGGGGCGTGATCTCAGCTCACTGCTACGTCCACCTCCCGGGTTCAAGCGATCCTCCTGCCTCAGCCTCCTGAGTAGCTGGGATTACAGGTGCCGCCACCAAGCCTGGCAAATTTTTGGATTTTTAGTCGAGATGGGGTTTCATCATGTTGGCCAGGCTGGTCTTGAACTCCTAACCTCAAGTGATCCGCCCATCCCGGCCTCTCAAAGAAAGACTTGTATTTTTGGTTTACAAAACCCTGTGCCATTTACTGGCCCATTCCTGGCCTGGCACACCTGCTGTGCAGCCAGCTGGGCCAGGGCTCTGAGCTATCCCCTGCCTGCTGCCATGCTCACCCCTTCCTAGGCCACCTTCGCCCCTAGGTCAGAAACCTGCACCCCAGGGACCAGCTCAGCTGTGTGAGTGATGCGTGTCTTCAAAACTGACGGTCTGACCTTGCACACCTGCATATAAGGAGGATAAATTTTTTCTTTTTTGTTTTCTTTTCAGCCAGCAAAACCCCAGCGATGTAATTGCACTGTAGAAGCATGAGGAAAAATGCAATCGTTCTTCATGGAAGCATCACCTTCAAAGTGTCGCCTCTTGTAGTGAACCTGGATGAACTACCCACCCAGGGGCCCTTCCCTGACACTTTCTCCCGCACCTGTCCCAGTCAACACTTTCTTTTTCCATGGCTGTAGTCCTGGGCTGGGGTCGAGGGAGGGTATGGACCCTAGGGCAAGGCAAGCAGGAGAAGCAAGGGGATGCTGCAGCTCGCCAGGGACTTTGGCGTCATGAAGCAACTCCGACTTGAGATGAAGCAGAGATGACAAGAAACCGGGGTCTCAAACGCCAAACACCCCTCTGCCCGAGAGCTTGCTGCTTTTCACCCGTTACCTCCAAAAGCAACGCCCTAGCCGGGACCGCCTCCAGCCTCTGATATTTGGACAGCACTGCAGCTGAAGCCTCTCTCCTCTGACCGTCCGTCCTGTTCCAGCAGAGCCTGCAATCTGGCTGCCTTTCAGGGAGGGCCACAGGTCACTGTCACCCGCCATAATAAAGACACAACAGAGGCTTCCGAAGGCCAGGCTTTGAGGCTTTGTATTTATGGTCACCCAGATAAGCATTTAGGACACATCTGTTTGTAATTCATTTAGTCAGATGCCTTTTGCCTTCTTTTCTTTCTTTCTTGTTTTTAACGCTACCTTTCCTTGGCTCAAAATACGAATTTCCATAATATTCTGCAGACACTCTGCAGCTGGCACCAAGAGACTCTCACCTGCAGAATGAAAATTAAGTTAATTGAAAAGGCCTTCTGAATTGTATCCAGATGAATTAAATTAATTGAAAAGGCCTTTTGAATTCCGAATTGTATCCAGACACCATGAGAAGCATCTTTTGAAGGCCATGAGCCAGGCTGAGCGAGTGATGGGGAGCTCCCTGCTGGGGCAGGCTCCAGGTGTTCTGTTTATTTCCCCAGGGGAAGCTCAGGAAATAACGAATTTCTGACCATTTCCAAGGGACCCAAGTGGCCACTTTGCGCCTTTCAACCTAACCCTTGGTAGCTCCCAGCCTCCTGCGGAAATCTTACATGTGTCTTTAATTTTTAAGAATTAGTTCTTCTATTTATTTTTTGAGACAGAATGTCACTCTGTCATGCAGGCTGGAGTGCAGTGGTGCGATCTTGGCTCACTGCGGCCTCCGCCTCACAGGTTCAAGTAATCCGTGTGCCTCAGTCTCCTGAATAGCTGGGGCTGTTTTGTTGTTTTTAGTAGAGATGGGGTTACACCATGTTGGCCACACTGGTCTCGAACTCCTGACCTCAAGTGATCTGCCGGCCTCAGCCTCCCAAAGTGCTGGATGACAGGTGACAGCCACCACACCTGGCCAAGGATTAGTTTTTCTGACTTGGGACTTCTCACACCCTGCTCCCCAAACCAGTTTTATAACTGCACACACACACAGGCTATGATTATATTTCATCTTCGTGCACACACATGCACACACAAACATGTATGCACACATCACAACGGACTGGCCTTTTCTCCCACCTGCTAGGGGGGATCTGTGGTTTCTTGTCTACAGGGCTTCGTTTACTGGCCTGGGAAATGGGTCTAAATACACAGCGGCAGAACTCGAAGGAAGGCTGAAAATGAAACTACACAACACAGAACACAGAGCTCTATGGAACAGGAAGGAAAGCATTGAGACAGGGGAGTAGTCAGAAAGTACCATTTCCAACGATAAGTGCATCCTTGAAGAAAATATGTCTGTACTGGGCACCATGGTGACTCACGCCTGTAATCCCAGCACTTTGGGAGGCCAAGGTGGGTGGATCACCTGAGATCAGAAGTTCGAGACCAGCCTGGCCAACATGGTGAAACCCCGTCTCTACTAAAAATACAAAACAATTATCCAGGTGTGTCTGTAATCCTGGCTACTCTGGAGGCTGAGGCACGAGAATTGCTTCAACTTGGGAGGCGGAGGTTGCAGTGAGCCGAGATCATGCTTCTGCACTTCAGCCTGGGTGACAGAGCGAGACTCCATCTCAATAAATCTTGTGTCAAACTGAAATCCCCAGTGTTGGAGGTAGGCCTGCTGGGAGGTGACTGGATGGGCGGCAGGTCCTTCACGAATGGATTTGTGCCACCCGCCTCGGCACCGTTCTTGCAATAGAGAGTGAGTGACGGTCAGAGCTGGCTGTTGAAAAGCATGTGGCACCTCCCCGCTGTCTGCTCCTCCTGCTCTGCGTATGTCAGACATGCCTGCTTCCCCTCCACCTTCCACCACGAGTGTCAGTTCCCTGAGGCCACCCTGCCCGGCTTCCTGTACAGCCTGCAGAACCGTGAGCCCCTGACAACTCGGGAAATTATCCAGTCTTCGTTATTTCTTTATAGCAATTCGAGAAGCAACTAATGATGCTGGTCTCCTCAAGAAAACTGCCACCCTCCCTCCCATCTTCTCCCTCCCTCCCTCTCTCTTTCTTTCTCTTTTTTCTTTCTTCTCTTCCTCCCTCCCATCCCTCCCTCCCTGTCTCTCTTTCTCTCTTTCTTTCTTTTTCTTTCTCCTTCTTTCTCTCTCTTTCTCTCTTTCAAGACTGAGTCTCACTCTGCTGCCCACCCTGGAATGCAATGGCACAACTTCGGCCCACTGCAACATCCACCTCACAGGTTCAAGTCATTCTTGTGTCTCAGCCTCCTGAGTAGCTGGGACTACAGACCCATGCCACCACACCTGGCTATTTTTTGTATTTTTATAGAGACGTGGTTTCACCATGTTGGCCAGGCTGGTCTTGAACTCCTGACCTCAAGTGATCCACCCACCTCTGCTTCCCAAAGTGCTGGGATTATAGGCAAGAGCCACCACACCAGCCCCTCCCATCTTCTTTCGCCCTTCCTTGCTTCCTTCGTTTTCCCCCCTTCCCCCCCCCCATTCCTCCTTTCCCCCCCCCCCCCCCCCCCCCCCCCCCCCCCCCCCCCTTCCCCCTTTTTTTTTTTTTTTTTTTTTTTTGAGACGGAGTTTCGCTCTTGTTACCCAGGCTGGATTGCAATGGCACGATCTCGGCTCACCACAACCTCCACCTCCTGGGTTCAAGCAATTCTCCTGCCTCAGCCCCCCGAGTAGCTGGGACGACAGGCATGCACCACCATGGCCAGCTAATTTTTGTATTTTTAGTAGAGACGGGGTTTCACCATGTTGACCAGGATGGTCTCGATCTCTTGACCTCGTGATCCACCTGCGTCAGCCTCTCCAAGTGCTGGGATTACAGACGTGAGCCACCACGCCCGGCCCCCCTTTTTTTCTTTTTTTTTTTTAAACAGAGTCTTGCTCTGTTGCTGAGGCTGGAATGTGATGGCGGGATCTCAGCTCACTACAACCTCCACCTCAGCTCAAGCAATCCTGGTGTCTCAGCATCCTGAGTAGCTGGGATTACAGGTACCTGCCACCACACCCAGCTAATTTTTGTATTTATAGTAGAGACGGGGTTTCTCCATGTTGGTCAGGCTGGTCGCGAACTCCTGACCTAGTAATCCACCTGCCTGGGATCACAGACGTGAGCCACTGCACCCACCCCTCTCTCTCTTTCTGAATAATGATTTTTGAGAAATCGTGTCCAGGTCCCAGGAGGAGGGTCTTGCCTCGGCTTCCCCTTTTTTTGGTTCAGATTGTCCATATTTCTTTTTGCTGTTTTCAGGATCGTGCCGTTTGCAGGAGGCGGGTGCGGTTGTGTTCTGGTTCCATCAGCGATGAAATACTAGTTGTCTCTCTGCGTTACCTTTGGTGAGTTTTGACTACTTTCCTCTGTGCACCTGGAACCCTACTGTTCACTTCAGTTTTGGGGAGTCACGGAGACTTTCTGGGGAGCATGGGGAGACTTCTTCTAAAACAAAGTCAGACTTGTTTTCAGAAGTCAAAGGAAGTGGTTGGTGTGACGGGAGGGAGAGCGTCTGGAGAACAACAGCTTGCGGTTGGCACCAAATCTCTGCCCAGGTTGCCAACACCTCCCAAAGATCCCTGGCCAGTGGTCAGCTTCGGACAGGCCAGAGGCAGCCATCATTTCCTATCATCATAGATTTCACATGTATTCACCTGCTTCGGCTGCCTAAACCAAGAGACGGGGGCCGCTAAAACAGCAGATGTTAATTCTACCACGATCCTGGAGGCTGGAGGTCTGAGATCCAGGTGTGGGCAGGGCTAGCTCCTCCTGAGGCCTCTCTCCTGGGCGTGGAGGTGCTCTCTTCTCCCTGTGTCCTCACAGGGTCGTCCCTCTGTGTGTGTCTGTGTCCTCATCTCTTCTTATGAGGTATCTGAGTCCATTTCAGGCTGCTGTCACAGAACACCATAGACTTGGTGGCTTAGAAACAGTAGACATTGATTCTCCCACAGTCCTGGAGGCTGGAGGTCTGAGATCCAGCTGTGGGCAGGGCTGACTCCTCCTGGGGCCTCTCTCCTGGGCTTGCAGACACCGTGTTCTCCCTGTGTCCTCACAGGGTCATCCCTCTGTGCGTGTCTGTGTCCTCACCTCCTATTACACCAGTCCTACTGTATCAGGACCCACCCTAGTGACTTCATTTTACTGTGATCCCCTCTTTAAAGACCCCCATCTCCAAATGCAGTCTTATTCTGAGGTCCTGGGAGTTGGAACTGCCACCTGGGAATTTTGAGTTGACACAGTTCAGCCCCTGACACACAGAGTTAAGCCTGGGCCTGGAACCCCGCAAGCCACAGGGGTTAGGTCTGCAGCTGGAGTTATAAAATATCTACATGTGCCAGGCAAAGTTTGAATGTGCACACACCCATCTCTGCAGGTGAAAGCCTGGCTGATAGGCACAGGAAGATTTCATTCACCAAAATGCCTCTGCAGATTCCACACTTCCCAGAAAGCACGCAGTCAGGTTTCCTTTCATTTAAGCAGATTCTAATGTGTCAATTCAAGGATTCCTATTAATGTTTATCCAAGAACTGTCTTAATTCTAGTACTGATACTACAAAGAATATAAATATTCATTTTTCAAAGATAACTTTTCCACCAAAAAAATTTCATATTTTAATCTCAAGGCAAGCATATCAAACACCCTCAGTAAATAAAGAGATGACGTGGGTATTATCACGTTCATCCATTCAACCACGTCAAGCCCAGAGACAGCTCTGAGGCAGGAAGGAAGAATTTCACATGATCTTGGAGAAGGTGAGAAAGAATGCAATAACTTCCAAATATATATATATGTAATATTAAATTATATAACTATAATTTATTATATTTAATAAATGTGTTGTTTATTATATTTACTAAATTAAATATATTTATGTATTTTATTGACTAAATTAAATATATTTGTATTTTATTTATTAAATATAAACATTATATTAAATATAATGTTTGTACATATATACACGCACACACACACACACAGGACAAGGAATCTGAGAATCACCATCCACAGGAGATGCATCCTTGAAGCCATTGACATTCCAGGATATGCTGTCTGTATGTTCTAGAAAAACAAGCAGATGACAAAAAAGGCCACAAAGTGTGGGCAGAGATCAAACCCAG